TAAGCACATACCGAGTCTGGAATTCTCGACCTGGTAAAGATACAACGAACCCACGCTGCAGGTGCCACTGCCCCCATCCTCTTCCCCAGCAACTGTAAAGAGAACAGGACAAAACTTGTCTGCGCTTTCCTTACAGCTCTTCGTGTTTGCTAAAACGTTACACGGTCACTCAAACTCGGCCCGGTTGAGCACACGTCCCGTCTTTACTACACTTCTAGGTGGCTGAAGAGCAGACAGTGCTCACACCGGGCGCCCACACCGGCTCCTCGGACTTTTCAGCTGCCTCTCCCCCGTCAAGAGGAGGCACGAACCAAACAACCCCCAGCCCAGGCTACTACCTTCCAAGCGGCTGCGGGCCCCAGGCCCCCCACGCCCGCCGCGGCCGCCATTCCGGTGCGCTGCCTTCCGGCCGGCCACCAACCCCACAGCAATTCAGTTCCGCACTGGCGGAACGGCAACAATGAGCACTTCCCCCTTCCCTCTACTGCCGCTTCGGTTTCTGTTTCCCCAGCGGCGGGTGAAGCGGTGCCTCGGGAAGTGTGGCCGCCCCGTCCCGGTCCCCGCCGCGGCGCCCATGTCGCGGACAGGGGGCGATAGCACTGCCGTGCTGGAGCGGGCCGGGGCGGAGACGGTGAAGCGGGCTGTAGAGCTGGACGTAGCGTCTCGGTTCCAGGAGTCGCTAGTGTGTTACCAGGAGGGCATCGACCTGCTGCTGCAGGTGGTGAAAGGTACCGAGCGGGGAGGTTTGGCGGCCGTTTGCCACAGCCGTTGAGGCGGTTAATTGTTAAACACCCCCCGGTTCTGCGAGAGGGGTGGTTTGGCGGAGAAATGAGGTCTGTCTGGTGCTGAGGGCCGGCCCCGAACCCTCGTCTCCTCATGGGGAGGGAGAGAACTTTTGATTGTGCTTTTGATTGACAGCCACGAAAGATGAGGCCAAAAAGCACCGATACCGGCAGAAAATATCCGAGTATATGACCCGAGCTGAGGACATTAAGAAACACATTGAAAAAGAGAAACAAGGTACGGAGCTGCCATGTACCTCTAAACATTTGAATACGTGTTGCTTATGTGAGGTAAGTAACATGGGAACTACGTCCTGCTCTTTACTGAAAAAAGAGAGTTCTTTTCCTTTCAGATGGCAAATACCATAAGCAGATCAGGATAGAGGAAAATGCAACAGGTTTCAGCTATGAAAAGGTTTTCCAAGAGTACCTTTCTGAGATTGTTTCTGAAGTTTGGGTGGAGGACCCATACATTCGGAGTGTTCATCAGGCAAGTACATACTCGGTGTAATTGATACGGATGTGACTGCTAAAACAATTCCAAGTTACTAAATTAAATAAAACTTTTTTTTGCAGTTGTATAACTTCCTGCGGTTCTGCGAGATGCTAGTTAAAGGGCCATGCAAAGTGAAAACGATCCACCTCCTCACTTCCTATGATGAAGTAAGTGTATAAGTTCTGGTTTCTATTTCCCAGTACCCAGGTGATAACACATGCGAATATGCACACAAACAAATATATATGTATATTAAATACTTATTTTTAAATACAGATTTTTGTATCACTTACTTGTACTTGTTAGACTGAGGCTCTGATGCCTTCAGCAGAAAACACAGATTAAGAGAAAAATAAAAATATGATAATTGAACATAAGTAATTTCATAAATTTAGAGTTTTCTTATAACTAACAATTTCTTGGTAAGCAGAATCTTAAATGGAAAAGATATTTTCTTGAAAGCTTTCTTGTGGAAAAGGTCATCAAAACTAAAGCATCTATTGAGATATGGGCTTTTTTCTCTTCCAACAGCTAGTTGTATATAGTTGTCAATTTAGAGGCTTTGATGAGCTAAAACCTCACAAACTATCACTGTATTTATTCTGGCTCAAATAGTAATTCATATCTAGTTTCAAAGGTCTGAGAATGAGCTCTTCCTCTACATATCTTAGCAAATGTACCAATAATCTGTTTCTGTTTTTTATGCTGCCTTTGAAACTGCTAATCTGCCTTCATCCAAGTTACTTTCTTTTGGTTTAAGTTATTACTAAAAAACTTTCGGTGAGTTTAGGAAGAGGTGACCAGAAGTAGAATTTATGGTTAAAAAAAACCCCAACAACATGTCATTTTTACTTTTAACAGGGTAGTGGGAAGAGTCAGCAGATAACTGGCTTGGATGAAATACAACAATCATTGAGGAATTATGGAGTAATGCTGAATATTGCATTTTCATCTTCAATCCATGATCGAGAAATTAGGTGGGTGATATAAAAAAATCAGTGAATGCGAGTTATTTGAACTGTTTAATCCTAACTTTTGAGGCAATTTCTAATTACAGCTGTGGTTAAAAGAGTAGAAGGCAGTGGCCCTTTCTGAACAAAATCAGCCCTCGATAGTTTCACATGTTCTAACTGTGAACATAATAATAGATTTCTCTTTATACAAAACAGTCCTTTCCATGGTTTATACAGGTATTGGTGATACTAGGAAATAATTGTGATTGAAACAAGGAGAGTGTGCATCGTGTGGATATAACTTTTTTTTATTCAACAAACTCATAGTATTCAAATTTGTGAATTTTTAAAACAGATTCAACAATGGATGGATGATTAAGATTGGAAGGGGTCTTGATTATTTTAAGAGGCCACAGGTAAGAATGATTTGATCTCTTTAATTAACTTATACTGTAGAAGAGCTCATTTTATGTTCACCGTGTCCATTCTGTTAATTTCCACAGGGTCGTTTCAGCATTGGATACTGTGATTTTGACTTGCGACCTTGTCATGAAACAACAGTGGATGTCTTTCATACTAAACATACAAAGAAAATGTGATCAGATACGACTTCTTCTAATGAGTGTTTTTACAAGCATAAAAATGTAAGATTGGAAGATGCTGCTTGATTCCAGCTCTCCACCCTCAGAAGGAACTCTTCTAAGTACTTAGTCCAGCACAGCTTTTATGATCTGTAGGTTCTAAGAATATTTGAGATTTTTCAGCCTGAGAAAACACAGCTATACATTTCCTTCACTGTGCTTCTCCCATAATCTTAACTAATATAAGCCATGTCTAAATTTTATCTTGATTTTGTAACAGACCCTCAATAGTGCCTGTCAAAGGCATCTTTACTGTCTTGAGCAAATTTTGTTTTTAATATCTTTAATTGAACACCTCACAAACATTTGAAGCTGGACTGCCACATGTCCTCTTTTATATGCAGCCTTATTTATTTCCTTTAATTTCTGTATTCTAGTCATGACTACTGTTCTGCTGTGTTTTGGTTAATCCTGTAATATCTGATTTGAGACTTTACCAGCAAACCCAAATCTAACATTCCATTTTCCAAGCTCCTTGCATACAAACACTGTAGTATTCAGTATATGGACATTTTGGGGGCTTCTTATGTGCCTCTGCATGATTTTGGGCTGGAAAGTATGCAAACAGCTGTATTCTTTTCCTTGTCACTCCTGTGTGTTCTTTTATTCTGCGATGCATGGTCATATACCTGATTTCCATACTTTGCGCACTAGGTGTGGAAAGGGTGTATGATCCTCTCCCAGTCTTTTTCCCTGACTTGCAAGTTTAATGTTCTTCCAGCTGGTCATGTCAGTCTCAGCTGCAGTAAGCTACTTTTCTGCTACTAAGATAAGTCCTTTACAAAGTAATAATTTGTTTTTTTAATTCTTCCAGAAGTTGGATACCCTGAAGTTTTCTTGCTAATAATGATTTTAAGGATTATGCTAATAGGAAAAAAAAAAAAGAAAGTCTTTTCTTGTATTTCTTTCACCCTTTGGAAACCACAAGGTATACTGAGCTGCTGCTGCTTTGTTTTTATACAAGAGTTCTTGATCATTTTCATCAAGTATCTGGCAAAGACATATATTCTGACATGAAGAACAGGCAGTGCAGTTCCCACCAAAATCTTTTCCGCTTCAGGACTGACAGGTGCCTTACACTTTCTGCATCTTGTAATACAGTATGCCTCTATATTCTAGCATGTTCATTGCTAGAACTTCTTCTCTCTCCTCTGTTTATTTTTCCTAATGGCTGCTGTATTCTGTTATCTTTTTATTTTTTACATTTTCTTTATTATTATTTCACCTTCTGTCATCTAAAGCTGCTATTCCTTTACGCTTGCCTCTAACACAAGTCTATTCCACAGCTATCAAGAAGAATCAGAGCTGGTCTTTGCCTTGTTCTGTGGGTCACAGTTTGGCAGTGGTCTGTCTTATCCTTTTGCATAATAATGTCTGCTTTTCAAAATAACATATAAAAAAGAGTAACATACATGCCACAGAAGCTGTACGCTACCAGTCTACCTACCCCTCAAACATTCCATAGGAACTCTCTGGCTTGCTGCTGTGGTACTAGGTTTCTAGTCACTGTTGTTGATTTTATTCAGTTGTGTATAATATATGTTTATATTTAATGGGAATAAAGGTTATTTTTTACTATTTGTAGTTACAGTCATCTGTTTGAATTCTTCTCTGATCTATTTATTTACATATATATATATATATATATATATAATTTTGTAGGTAATTCAAGGAAGGTAGGTAATGCCTTAAAGACCAGCCATGTTTTGGAGAATGTTTGCTGCGAATACACTAAGCTTCCCAAATGTGAAGCTTTGTATCTTTTAACATAGCCCAGCAATTTCAAACGTACAGGGGCAAAATAAAAAGCCACCTTAAATATTGTAGATCAACTTTAAAGTTTAGTACTTATTTGGAAATAAAACTAAAATATTTATACTTCTGGCATCTGCACTGGAACACCTCTCCTGTGATGACAGGCTAAGGGAGTTGGGCTTGTTCAGCCTGGAAAAGAGAAGGCTCCGGCAGGACCTTAAAGCAGCCTTTCAGTGCCTAAAGGTGGCCAACAAGAAAGCTCGAGAGTGACTTTTTACAAGGGCATGTAGTGACAGGGCAAGGGGGAATGACTTTGAACTGACAGAAGGTAGATTTAGGTTAGATATAAGGAAGTTCTTCACTCAGAGTGGTGAGGCACTGGCACAGGTTGCCCCGAGAAGCTGTGGCTGCCCCATCCCTGGCAGTGTTCAAGGCCAAGTTGGATGGGGCTTTGAGCAACCTCATCTGGTGGAAGGTGTCTCTGCCTATGGCAAGGGTGTTGGAACTAGACGGGTTTTAGTGCTCCTTCCAACCTAAACCATTCTGTGATTCTATGATTCTGTGATCTTGTAATGTAGTATGTCTCTGTTCTAGTAGGAATCCCCTGCGATGTGGTCCTCTACAAATACCACAAAAGGCAAGCATTTTCTTCCCTCTCTTGCCTTTTCATTGCTAGAACTTTTTTCTAATCAGGCTGTAATCTACTAGCTAAGACTACAGCTTTCCTTGCAGATCCAATGGATATGCAGTATCTGTCCATACATAAAGTAAGCCTTCAGTGATACATCAGTTGGTGCTGCACTGGAATTTTTACATATAAGCTCTTTATCACTGAATGGTTCCTTTCACTGTCAGTAGGAACACCATGTATGAGGAGGAACTGGCATCAATGAGTAGAGAAAAAAACAAATTATCTGGGAAATCCAATAGTACAGTTCCTCAATAATTTTACTGACTCTCCATGCCATGTTCTGTGCTGCCACTCATGTAATCAGGTCCTCACCTGGACTGTGCAGCCAGGGCTGTCCCTCATGCCACCATCTGTGCAGATGAGTTTAAACCACCTTCCCCGCTGGAGTCAGCAGGGCATTGTCCAGTCACATTGTGTGGCTGCCAGTCCTAGCCGAGGGCTGGATCCACCCCCAGTGACTGCTCTCCTTAACCAAAGGTAAGTCACTTCTGACATGGAATTTCCTCCTACTGGGTACTGGTCAACCAGCCATCTTCCAAAGGTGAGTCTGGAAGTAACAGTAACACCTCGGAGGCCTCTGCAGGCCTCACCTGTTAAGAAGTATTTGACTTGTGAAGAAATATTTGCAGCTAGCAATCTCATCTGGTGAGCACCATTTCTTTAACAAAGGAGGAAAGTATTCATAAAAGGATATACTGCCTAGGGCTTCCTAATCTGCCTAGATCCTCCTTATTTGAAGAATTGCAGTCACTGCTGGTATCCTGCTTATCCAGGAGTTGGGTGAAGAAGAAATTGTATAACTCGAAAGTATATAAAGTCTTTAACTGCTTCAACTGGGCAGAGTTCCTATCTGCCTCTGCTGTTCTGGGTTCTCTCCTATGGCACTACATTGCTGCTCTTCTGACCTGATCATAGTTGTATTTCAGTTACACCATGACAGACTTTGGTGCTGTGACTTGGATTCAAATGTCCTGCTTCCCCTGGGAGGACCACTGACTGATCCCTGCTGAAACCCCCTTGGTACCACTTAGAAAGGTAAGGGTCCTTGTGAAATTCCTGCTGCAGCATCAGCCGAGGGTTGTCTGTATGGACAAGGAGGCCAGAATGTCCTACAGACCTAACTGTAAGTCTTTGAAGTTCAGCAGGATTCTGTTACCCTAGCTTTCCACCCAACTTTTCCTTCTTGCCACAGCCTCAGAAATGCAATTAGGCCAGCCCCAAGGACATGAACATTATTGCTCCTTTACTTCCTTTAGGCCAGAACAGCAAGATTGTTTCTTGCCTGTTACTGGCATTTCTCAATCTACTTAATGTGCCCCTAATTTTCCTGCAGTTCTCAGAATCTTCAGAAGTAGTAAATCCTGTTGGTATTTCAAGACAGCTCATATGTCATCCAGTAAACAAGCCTTTCTCCATAACCCTCCCTCATTTCTGGATACAGTGCTTTCCTTTAAGTCCTATGACTCCAGTTAACCTCCTGGGAAAAGACAGTGATGTAAATTGGGTTGTGCTGTATATTGTGACTCTACCTTACTGCGCACACCTCAACGGGCGAATTTATGGCTTTTTTGCTTTATGAACCTCCCACTGCAAATTTTACTGCTGTTCAAGGGCAGTTTTATGAAGAAAGAGTTGTGTAACACAAAGGTATATAAACTCTGTGACTGCCTCATTTGGGCAGAGTTCACATCAGCAGAGTCCCCTCCTTCAGCTGTAGCAGTAAACTACTTTTGTTCTAACCTGATCATAGTTGCATTCTGCTTATTTGCCAACAGAGAAATACATCTTGAGCCTTTCTTTCATAATGTTTATATTAAACTATTATTTTTATTTAATGTGAAAACTGTGATTTTCAGTTCATTATTGCCTTTCCTTAGCTAATTTTGTCCTAGACGTTAACATAAGGAACTTGTTTCTCATACATGTGTACTTCCTAATGTAGAAATATTCCTGTTTTTATATCGGATAGCAGTACCTATGGCAGCAGTGACTCCCAGCTTTGTGCCAAGCAGTGTGGGTACAAAGGAGGCACGTATGACCTCTGCCCCAGTTAGCTTCTCCTACCCTCATCACATAAACCTCTACACTGAATTTCCTAAGCCCTTCTCTGTTTGCACAGACCAAAGCCCTAATCCAGTGTGGAACTGCTGGACTGATTCACTATGCAGTAGCAAGCTTAGCTTACTACCAGGCAGAGGGTCACCACACTGCAAGAAAGGACTTTCAACCAGAAACCAGGGGGACACACACAGCTCTCCCCTACACAGCTCACGCCCTGGGACACATCCTTTGGGCTACCATCTGCAAGGAGTGGGATGCAGGCCGGGGGATCCAGTGCAGCAGCACCACAGCAGTTTTCCATCTACCCCATCCCATCTGTGTCAGCCATTTGTACCTTCTTGGCTCCAGAGCCAGTTTGGGATGCCTCCACTGTCTTCCCTGATTTAAGCAGCAATGATGTCTGTCAGCATGGAGCAATACAGGGCTGCAGCTTACTGCAGTGGCTTACATCCCCCAGTTTGGGAACCTTGGGTGCAGGCAGTGTAAATCTAATTGCTAGTAGGTAATATTAGGCAAAAGCACAAGGTTAAACAGTTTGAATGACTAATAAGAGAAAAATTCAGCTTGTAGAAGTTAACATTTTAATTTTTTCAATAAATAAAAAGCAGCAGCAATTTAACTTGCATTTTCAAAGTGCAAGTCACATTAACATTTTTATATTCTCACAGAGCAGATTCCATCTGCTCTGCAAGTCACCATCTTGTGGACACGCTCTTAGTAATGTTGTCACTATCACAGTGGTTTCATTTGGGCAAAACTTACTGCCGGTGAGGTTCTTCACCAGCTCACTGCACAGTGCTGGTGGCAACCACTGCTCTGGCAGATCAATGTTACAGACTTCAATCCTTCCATGCTTTACATCCATATCTACTTTAACATCGAGAACAGAATCTTTATAGGCTATGTTAAAATGAGTGCTAACATTGAACTTCGGTGTCTTTCCATACACCCATTCCCAGGTTTGTAGTTCTTTAGCTTTATTATTAATTCCAGGAAGCACAGTCTCATCAGCTGGATTTATTAAGTTGATATGACAATCAATTTGGTGCTGCATTGCATATTCTTCAGCTATGGCATCCAGAAGCAGCTCAGAAGTTAAACCAGAATCCTCTTCAAAGAGATTTTTCACTGCGGCAGGCACACTAGGAGTAGCATTGCTTTTTAGCCCTTTATAAGGACTTTTTAGCACAGAAGATAAAACAAACTTATCTGTGTTACAGAGTAAGGTACAGTGGTGATAAGCAGCTGTCCTTCCCAGTTTTGCAGCAGTACCTGAGATTTTGTATTGCCTGTCTAGCAAGATATCGTATCTGTCAGTGACATGTACATCTAACTGTGGGCGCAAGGCTTTCAGGGCCTTCACAACTAGTTTCAGGTTTTCCATTCGTTCGTGTTTTTTCCTCGTTGTAAAGAAAGTCAAATTGATATTGCCTAAGTCATGGTACACTGTCCCTCCTCCACTTCTTCTCCTGGCTAGTTTTATATTTTTTTGCCTCAATAGCCTGAGGTTGCATTCCTGCCAGGGATTCTGATGTCTCCCTATTACCACAGCAGGGGAATTTCTCCAAAGGAAAAGGACCTGTTGGTTCTCTAAATTCATGTGGTCATGGATCCAGTCTTCCACAGCCAGATTCTGGTAAACATCATTAGAAGTAGACTGCATAATGAGGCCTCCACTTGCCGTGCTTCTGAAGCCAGCTTTTGGAGCCTGGAGGATGCAGGATAGCTGAAGGCAGTTCTTTAATGATGACTGGAGCACCATGTTCTTAGTAACTGGACAGGAGATGGAAGCAATGCTCAATCTGGTAATGCTGAACGTGGCAAGTGCACAATCTGCTGTTGTGACTGAAATTAAACGCTAGTGGGAGTCATGATGCAGGCATGCTCTTCCCAAAGCAGCAATGCTCCTGAAGTGATGAGAGTTACAAGGCATGATTCTCCTGAAGCTAGTAATGTGGCTCAAACCCTGACATGTGCTTAACATAAAAGTGGGGATTGTCAGTAGCTTCTCCTCACTGCCCTTAATGCCTAAAAGACCAAGAGAAGAAATGGAATTAAGCTGTGTATTTTCCCCTCACTAGTACAATTTTACTTTGTGTATTTTGCTAAACTTAATTTCAGCAGTCCACTTTTGTTATGATTAAAAAACAAAACTAAACGAAACAAAACTGGTGCACCAAGTTCACGAACTCGTTGGGCCAGTGAGGGGTGAGCCGGGCGTAGAGCTTGCTGCCACGGTGCCTGCAGCGCCCAACCGAGAAGGGAGACAAGGCCCGCGGAGGTACCGGAGTAGGGCGCCATTTCGTTCTTGGCTCGGGCGCTCCCTCAGCGGCCACCCCTCACCGTGCGGCAGCAGGCCCCACCCCACCATGGGGCTGCTCCAAGGCGATGCAACTCTGGCCCGCCACCTTCCTCCCCTCTCCGTTAAACGGCCGACCCTGCGGGCCGCGAGTCGCTACTCACAGTTAGGACTAGCAGGGCAACGTCAGCACGGGCAGCAGTCTCTTCCGGTTCCCGAGGTTAGAGGTGCTGGGGGCGGTACTGCTGCCGCCCGGCGGGAAACCGGGAAGGCAAATCCATCATCCCGCTGATGGTGCAGGCGTGCCAGCGGGGGGGAGCGGGCGGCGCTTCCATACCGAGGCCTGGACGTGGTATGGCTGGAGGAGGTTGAGAAGTGAGGATGGTGAGCTGCTGTGCAGTGTGCTGCCAAGTGACTTAAAGCTTTTCAGCCTGATTAAAAACCCAAACCGAACCTCCTGTGGTAAGCGGTTATAAAATGGTAGGTGTTGATTGTTACTGCCTCTGCCAACACGGTAACTGCGAAGTATCGGATCATGCCAGCAACAGGCAGATGCACAACAAATAGAACAGATGATTAGTCGTGCAAGACCCAGCCGTGCGTTTCCTCATCGCAAGATTTTCTGGATGCCAGAAGCTTTCATGAGTTCAAAAGGAGACTGAAAAAGTTACCATAAATGCACAAAGGTTTGTGAAATACATAGAAACTGCAGTATTCATGAAGATACACAAGTTACGTGTCGGTATCATAATTCATTAATGAGCTGAAATTGATCCAAAACTAGATAACTAAAGATGTATTACACGCAGCAGATTGTCTTCAGATTTGCATTGATTTAAGCCATTCTTCGAGTCTACCGGACCATGGCTATAACTTCTTCAAGAGCTATTGTCAGTGTTTAAGTTTATGCTGTCAGATCTTGTTTGATGCTAGTGCTTAAGTTTTTATCCACAGTAGTATTCATATGGGCAGGTGTGTGCTCTATGTCTCCTGCTGGGTGTATGTGTATTTATAAATGGTATGATGCATACATTTATCTTCCATTCTGCCTTTATACTGGAGTCCCAAGACGTTAAGGAATTGTAGAGAAAAAGGTTGGTACAGTGGGTTGTGAGAATTCATGTAGGTTATTTCTTTTGAACAGGTAAGTAATTACACTTTGTATTCTATAAATAGGTGGCTTAGGAAGAAATGCCAAGTTGATGTCCTTATTCAGATGAAACCGTGAAATTACTTGAGGAAGCAATTTGGCTTTGGGTGTGTAAGTGGGTGTTCATATATCTGCTTTATCAATAAAGAAACCTATTTATGATGTGGCCTGAATTGCCTTTTACCTTCTAATCAAATAAACAGAACTAGAACAGCTGTCTTCCCTAAAGGGCAAAGGAGAAAAGAAAATGGATAAGGGTGAAAGACTTTTAAAGATGTGAGCTTGCTGTTATTTCCTACTGAAGAACTATATCATTAGGAGCAGGAATATTCTTACCAAACTCTTAAAAGAAATGTGGGTGTAGTAGGGCAAGCAAAAAGTAAGAAATCACTGCACGTGTGCTGGTGGTGACTAGTGGGAGGTACAAGACTAAAAGCATCCTGATGTGATGTGTGCCCAAGCATTTGGCACGTTGTATTGCCACTTTAAAAGAAAAAAAAAAAGTTGGGAATTATTTTAAGCAGTTTGAAATGGGCACAATTTGTTGCTAAATTAGACTGGTGAAACTTCACTGGGGCTAATTATTCTGTAATGCATAGGGTAAAAAAAAGTGTGAACTTTGTCCAGAAAAATGTGCTGAGTGTTCTAAATATTTAAAAATCAACTTTTGAGGCAGTTGGCAAAATGCAGAGGTTAGCCTGGGCGCTTTAACTGGTCAGAGGAAGTGAAATGCACCTTGTGGGGCTTCTGCAGTTAACTAAAAACAAGATGTTGAAGCATTAGTTTACATTTTGGCACTTGACTCTTGGAAATTTGCAATATGTCATTTTGCCATGGGGTGTCACTAAAACACACTGCGAGCTGTTACCCTCCCTGGTTTTGTAGTTCAAAACTGGGTTCCCTTAATGAGAACCAGAATCTGCTAAAAAATGTAACGTGGGGAGAGTACTAGGTGGTCAGGTAAAAATGCCATGGGTCTGTTTTCTGTGCTGAAGGATAAACTCCACATGCAACAATAAATACCTTTACTGAAAAGTGGCTCTTTTTGGAAACAAACCCAGCAAGATAATTAGAAATATTATGAAAATAAGTGAGAAGTATGAATTTATAAATACAAACTGTGATTTATCTCTTCTGGATTGGAATTTTTAGATTTCTTAGTCTTGGCTACCATCTTATAAATTACATATCTGCAGAATACAGCAATTATTGGTTTTGCTTTTGAAAACAATTC